AGACAAAAATGATATTTGTTACAGTTATAAAAATATCTCTTGGGGACTAAGGCTCATAGAGAAGGCATCTGAAGGGCTTAGTCAACTTCCTAATGATTATTATTTTAATTTACTATTTATGATGTAGAAGATCCAATAATCCAAGTAAGATTTCAATCTTTGTATCTGATTCATTAATTTATGATTTATATTTATTTATTTATTCAAAAATTGAGGACATACTTGCCTTCAAATAACTTGGTCTTGTATGAAAATAGTCATGGATGGATAATATGGAGAAACTGGAGTAAGCTTCATAGAGGAGGTTGGGCTAGGATGAACATTAATTTACTCATTAGACATGAGGTGGGAAAAAATTCTAGAATTCCAACAAATGGCAGATGAGCAGTTACCAAAATAGAAGAGAGATATATATGTTTAAAAACTACATGTAATTCAGAATTTCAGGAATGTAATGTGTCCTCATATATATGTGTTGAAAGAGATGAGGCAGAAAGAATGGTTAGTGGTAAGACTGGACAGACAAGCAGGAGCCAGATTGTGAAAGGCATTGCATATGAAGATTTAAATTTCATCTTATGTACAATGGGAATTCATGAAGAGTTCTGAACAATGATCAGATTTCCATATTAAAATGAACATCTGTTGACTGTGTAATCAAGAGATCGAATGGAAGAGAAATTAAAGTCAAAGAAACTTCTAAATACTACATGTTAAAATTAAGGAGAAAAATGGTAAGGCTTGAACATAGGCAATGACAATTGGAAAAGGAGAGAGGAGGCAGATAAAGAACATATTTAAGAGATATTAGACAAGACTTTATTATGCCAAGTTTTTCATTTTAATTTTTTTTAGTGTCCAGTAACAGAAAATTGAATTCAAATAAAGGAGTTCGTTGAGTCATGTATCTGGAAAATTTAGAGTTGGGCAGGTGTTAGGCTCAACGGTCTCATCTAAAAAGTTTGTTTTCATCTTGCAATTCTGCCTTCCATAGTTTCAGATTATTTCAAGTCTGATTTCCCTCCTGGTGATAAATGACCGCAGCATTTTCAGGCCTCATCTCAGAATAACACGAGACCCAGAAAGTGAGGCAGTGTGTAAGTGGCCTTTTGGAGGTTTTCTTAGAGAGAAAGCCAAAAGTCATCTCAGCCCATTCCTGACCTAACTTCTATGGCCAGGAGCATTTTGATTTGCCTAAACTTGCTTATCTGAATCAATCACTTTAGCAAGGAGATGAGTCCGCATTTGAGGATAGGATAAACTTCCCACAAGCATGGCGCTCAGAATTGAGATGGATCCCAAACTGAAAGCTTAGTCAGGAGAGGATGAATGCTGGGTAAGCCTGCTCAGGGTTAATGTTTACTACGGGGTAAGAGGAAGAAAAATATATAGAGAGATGCAGGGTGAAGGGAATGATTTTTTAATTTCCTTCCTTCCTTCCTTCCTTCCTTCCTTCCTTCCTTCCTTCCTCATTATATTGTTCTAAGTTAACATTAACTCCTTTTTGGGTTAGTTACTGAAAATTGTGAAGTTTTGTTTAGTTTGACAATGAGCTAAACATGTAAAGACACCTACTGCTTATTTTTAAACTTCCTTCCTTCCTTCCTTCCTTCCTTCCTTCCTTTCTTCTTTTCTTCCTTCTTTCCTTCCTTTCGTCCTTTTTTTCATCGACGATAAGTATATTTATAGGCTCATACTTTCTTTTCATTGGCCAGCAGTGTCATATGACCACATCCAGCTTCAAGGGAGCCTGAAAAAAGTAAGTGCTGGCTATGTAGTAGAAGACAGCAAGGGAGAAAGGAAATGGAACAGCTGGCAAGTTAGCTAAACATTAAGAGTTTGCTCTAAAAACTATCGAGAAGTTTTTTTCTCCCTAGCCCCAAGATTTTGGGAATATTTTTTCTTTGTGTGTTTGAGATATTAGAATTATATGACAATGTTGTAGGTTTATTATGAAGTCAGAGTTCAACCATGTAGGGGAAAGCAAATACATTTTTTTCGTTTTTACTAAGATTGCAAAGTGGATGAAGTAGAAACTGGAACACAGACTTCAGATTTTACTTTACAAGATAATGCTGACGCAGGAATTTAGTTTCCTTGGATGGATCTCTAACTAGCATGAAGTGAATGGCTCCATGGGATAGAGGTGAACCCTTGAATCATAGAGCATTAAGTCCTAGCAATCAATGCATAGGACACAGTAACTCACTCTCTGATCCAGCACAATAAGAACCATTCCCTTTGAGAAGTAAAATGTCAGCTTAGATATGAAATGCTCATCTCAGTATTGTGACAGCTGATTCAGTGTGATCCCAAATTGCTGAGCCTTGTTTTTTTTTAACCACAGACAGCATCAGAAATGAAGACGAATAAAAATTGATCCGTAATATAAAATAGATGGTCCAGCCATAGCAGACTGCCTTCTCACTGGCGGGAATCCTGCTCTGGCTCTGGCTCTGCTTCATATGATAGCCTTCTTGACAGCAGCCATCAAGTAAGAGTATGATGCAAAAGTGTCTATGGATCCCACTAGCATCTATTGACCTAACAGGATTCACTCTTCATTACTCACTTTCTGATAAATAGAAACAAAGTCAGAATGATTGAATGCCTTGAAAGGGTCAGCATTTCCAGCTCTGGCAATTCACACTGCTTTCCTACCTCATTTATTTCTCATCAGTAAATTTGCTTCAGCAGTTATCTAGCAGTAGGGGTGACCATTATTGCATGAAAATCTTCTGTGACAGCGACGTTCATTCAGTTTCCTAAAGCTAAGCATGGACTCTGGATCCCCTAAAAATATAAGACAAGCAGCTTACATTCAAATAGTGATTAGACAATTTTAAAATTTGGAAAACTCAAGTTTATTTATATTTAGTGATAACAATAGCTAATTCTCCATTTTTAAAGTAAAAAGTTCTGGAAGTATCAAAGACAATTAAAATCTGAAATTTTCCAAACATTATTTATACTATTGCATATACTTCAGCATTATCTTCTATCAAACCCTTTCACTAGAACTGCTGTGGAATAGCGCACATGTTTTACCTCACCTTTCTGCCTCTCTACAGGCCTGGGTGAAAGGAATAAAGAGCAAATGGGGAAGGCCTGGGGAGCGTGAGGAAGAGAAAAGAGAGGAAAAATATGTTTCTTGGTAAACCACAATCTCTATAATTTATCACTGAATTGGCCAGCATTGACTATTTCCCGAAGGCATCTATAATTGTAAACTGATCTGCCCATTTCAATCTGTCCTTCTTGGACCAGCATCTTGTATGATGTGGTATCCTATTATGTGAACAAAGGCACTGATTTTAATTACATGAAAATTGATGTTTTCTGTGAGCTTTTATGAAGAGTAATTATTACATTGGAAAAGGATCCAAAGAGTAGTTATTCATCTTTACATTCTTTGATTCGGGTGTAAATGTGTCTGATCTCTAGGGTTCAATAGTGAGAATGAATTTGTGCATTAGATCTACATTTATATATCATTTTTTCCAGTTATCAGATTCCTAGTACATTTGTAGTTTTTACCTATTCATAAATGTCGACTTCAAGGCTTTGTTTAGCTTACTTCCTTCTCAATACATTGCTGCTTTTATAGCTCCCTAAGCATGCTTAGACACATTAGAATTTTGGCTTCCATGATTAGGCTTTGCCTTCTTCAAGGTCAGAGGTCCCATCTTAATCAGCTTTGTAAATTTCCCAGCAAAGCACAATGCCTCGCTTATAGGAGGCATTGAAATAAAAGTTGAAGGAAATGAATCTAGCTCAAATAGGGACAAATGAAAAAACCTGTTTGTCTTCATTGCTTTATCTGAAAAAGAGGGAAATAGTTTGATTTACATCACAGGTGTATGTATTTTGAGGATCAATATATAGTGTTAAGAGAGTAGTTGCTCAGATTATGGTTGTACAAAATTCAAGGAAAAAAACCTTCCTCCCTCGTTCTCTGCTGTGATATGTGTACATAAAATCCTACTCTCCTTGTTTTGCTGATGTAACTATCTGAGCAATTCGCTGTTCCCACCCATTCCTGAATCTATATGCTACTCTTGCTTTACAAGTTTCTCATTTCTGTCAAATAGCTGCTCTTCAGATTTTGTTTAATCTCAGAATTTAATTAGGAATCAGAGCAAAAGTCAATTGGCACTTCACTGTGTGGCTTGAGAGAGGGGGGTTGAAGACGATTAGTTTTTTGCCTGGTTCCCATTGCTCATTTTAAAGAGAACTTGAAGCTAGCAATGGTGTGAGGCCAGATGTGTTCCCCATCTGCTGTCCTTGATAGCTGAAGCTACTTCATCAACATTGATTAATATGCTCTGGCAGGTGCAGGTCTTTGAAAATCAGTTTAAATGACTAAACACTTTACTTACTGGGGGGATCCTAGAATGTTCTTCCCAACTGCACTTGCTGCCATGGTCAGGAGATCCTGAGGGTGTTAGACAATCTTCTGTGATTCTTTCCACTCCCATTGGGTTTTAGAGTCTTTATTTTGAGTGTCTCATCCTGCCTTAAATATGCTTTTACCCTTTGACCTAGTAATTCCTCTTCTGGAAATTTAATAGAATGAAGTTGCCAGAGATTCAGTCAGATATTCATGTATAGATTATTTGTTTTAAAGTGTTTATAATATCAAAAACCTGGAAGCAATCAAAATGCTTAAGTAGGAGATTGATTAAATAATACTATTACATAGTAGAATCCTACGAAGCACTAATAATCATTTATTTAACAAGATGAGAAAAATGCTCATTATATAATATGAAGTAAAAAAGCAGAACATAAATATAGGTATACACAGTCATGATTTTGTAAAACAAACTGTGCGTGTGTATAATTTTGGAAAACATATTTATATTTGGTTAGTAGGATTATAGATGTCTGCAAGTCTTTTTTCCATTTAAGCCTATCTGTAGTTTCTAGGTTTTCTATAATTTTATCAAAAAGAGTTAATTTTTCAATAATAAATTAGTTCACTTGTTTTTTTTTCTCAGTGATAACTGAAAGGTGGTGATTCACGTACAGAAAGTGTGGGAACCTTCTATGAAGCAGAGGCTGCAAAGGTGAGTAGCATGGGTGACAAGCACAGCAGGGTCAAGGTACAGTGAGGGAGAGGTACCAATCACAGATTTGTATCACTGCGGCCTGAGGATCTCTGAAAAAAGGTGAACATTTCATGCCAAGTCAAATATATACAGAGCTCAGAACTGCTTTCAGATGATAAGCTATTAACAAATTGTTGATGGTAATAGGGAGATAGCCAGATCCGGGTCTGTTGGCAGCAGCAGAGTATGCAAGAACGGAGAAGCCTAGGTCAGCAGGTAGAACAGCCCCTTGGCTGAAGAAGAGTCTGGAAGCAGAGGTGGAGGGACAGAGCTCGTTGTAAGTGCTCAGGGAGAGGAAGTGAGCCCAGCAGGCACAACAAGAATAAGGTTTCCCACCAGACTGGCAGAACACAGCAATGAGAAATACAGGACTAACATTTGAAGATCCAAATGCAGCAGAGGGAGTCTTGAAAATGGTCTCTTTTGTCATTCCTCTGCTCAAAACCTTCTGGTAGCAACTCAGTTCACTCAGAGTAAAACCATAGTCATAAAATCTAAATCTTTGAAGTGTGTCCTCGGAAATCATCTTGAGGTATCACGTTGCTCTCTTCTCTGTGGTTCTTAGACTGCATGAGAATGTCGGACTTCAAACCCTCAGACACCTACAACTACTTAACCTAGAGCCTAGAGCCACTCTAATCCAGAAGGGGGCCCAGAAGGGGAAGTCTTGATAAATAGATGCAACTTGGAATCTAGATCTGAGGGTCTGGAGCATAGAGTGTCATCCTTGGGTTAATTGCCTTTGTGCAGAGGTGGAATTCTCTGGTTCAAAGAGTGTCAGCAATGTGCTCATCTGCTTCAAGCAGTTTTAAGTAATGAGATTGTGTATTTGAGACTTAGCCACCTGCATTTCACTGACTTGTACTCTCAAGATCCGAAATTATACCACAGTCATTCTTGCTATTACTAGTTGGCTGAATGGATATGTAAGCAACTATTGTGGAAAAATAGGGTGGCAGTGGGTTGAGGGGTGCAGAGAAAGAGAGATGCGTAGGAGAAGTAAAGATGAAAAGGCGAATCTCTTGAGTAGTGATATCAGAAATTCGTCCCTGGAAAGCCCAGGGAACTCGTCGAGATGGTATGTGGCTCTACTCCGACTTGTTTCATTAAAACAAAATGAAAAGTATTGCTATTAGAGTTTTGAGTGAACATTCTGATTGTGCACCCAGGAGCTTTTGGTTTATACTCACCCTAGCTTTTCATAGGTCAAAGACTAAGTCAGTGAGAGATCTTAGAACCCTCGAACACCTGATGCCCATCTGTGACCTATCTGTTAAAGCACACAGAACAAGATGTGTGCACAAAAAGCATTTTTTATCATTAGTGATGGGAAACAGGGCTTGCCAAGTTTAGAAACTTTGTTGAAACCAGAGGTTCAGTCTTTACAACTTGAATACTGACACCTACACAAAATATACATTCCTTTATCTTCTTAGGAAAAAATACTTTTTTAAATAACAATAAAAAAATTGAAAGATGTTTTCCTAGACGTGAATTATTTTAAAGCATCATTTACAAAAATTGAATGTAAGTGAAAGGGCTGAATTTAAACTGACACATGCATTTCTAAATCGCATCCTTTTCTATCTGTCTAAGCCAGCATAGAGAAAACCAACAATAAAAGTATTTGCTCAAAGCTCATCATAAACCAGTTTAAAAAGCTCATCAAGTCAAGATGACCATACAAGGTTCTTGGTTCCACCTGTCTGTTTTTGCTAGGTTTTGACTTTGAGTCAAATAAAAGAAAAGCGTCGTACAGTGCTTACATGGGGCTGACCCAAGCCACATGGATTTCCCAGCTAGGCTAATAATTTTTTGCATCCACTAATTGTTCCTAAATAAATACTTCTTCAGCTGATTGTGGCAAGGAGTATGAGGATTTTTGTGGCAGTACCTGACCTTTCCTATCCTGTGCTATCCATTATGGTAGCAATTAGACACATGTGGCTATTTAAATTTAAATTCAAGTTAATGCAAATTAAATTAAAATTTTAGTTATTTATTCATTTCAAGTGCTCAACAGACATATGTGGATGGTGGCTACTGTATCGGATAGCACTGTTACAGAATCTTTCCATTACTGCAGAAAGTATTTTTGGACAGCCCTGCTATGTCCAAGTAATTTAGGTTCCAAACATATATGCCTCTCACAGTGTAACAAGAGCCCCACAGTTTGTCTACTGACAAGGCAGTTTAAAGGCAATCTATTATACTCTAACATTCACTTATTCAACAAATATTTATTGACCACCTGTTACATATCCTGACTTTGCTTTCCTATGGGCCACGTAGGTACCTGTGGCTTCAGATTTCAAAGGCTCTGAGATAGACAGTGGAACGATTTGTGGTGGTGTTTGAGGTGAGACTGTCAGTTGTCACTGGAGATCAGAAATGGGCTTAGAGGATGTGACCCAGGACACCAGAAGTGTCTGCTACAAATACTATGTAATTGTGAGTAGCTATTTTGCTTTTATTTTAACATTTGCTGTTATTATAATTTAAAATGTTTTTAGTACTCAATAGTAATGCCATATAAGCATTTATCTGAATGTGGTCCAAATGATAGTACTGAAAAACTGGGCCTGAAAAATCAATATCTTAGGAATGGATGTTAGATATGCTAAAATAAGACTAAACACCCTAACACCTCGGGCTATTATTTTTGGAGAAAGAATGTTATAATATGTTAAAGTAATCTTGAGAAAATTTAAAGCGAAAATAGGCAACAATGGTGATAGATGCACATGCTGTTAGAATTCATCTCTTCCTAATTTTCATATTTCCCTATAGGAAAATTATTCTGGAATTATGTAAGGCTTAAGGAATGCAATGATCTTCACGTGGGATGGCCCTGAACAATTTTTTCCATCTACGTACATTTTCAATGAAGGCTCCTTATAGATTGGCACCCTAGGCAACTGCCCAGCTAGCCCGCCCTGTTGGTCAGCTTCAGTCTGGTGGTAAAACATGGTGGTAAAAAACACTGTAGTTGCCTCCATAATATCCACTTCACCCTCTTGCCTTAGGTGGAAGCCAGGTGGCTTGGTGAGATGAACTACTTCCCTAGCTCTAGAGGTGGGTTCTCATTAGTCTAGCTCTGACTGTGTTACCGGTTCAGGCACAGGCTTGTTTCCCAGGTCTGAAATCACTGTGGTGCATGACTTCCCTGGACACAGCAATTTTTTTTCAGGGGTGGGGAAGCCCAGGCAGTGTGAAGCCTAAGAATTTGTTTTTATTATCAGAAGGAAGGGAAGCCCCTCCTCCCTCTCATGAAAATGAGAAAGCATTTAGTTCTGGGAGCTGCTGGCAACCACTTGCTACCATGAGGAAAGCCAGCCTAACTAAAAAGCCAGTGCAGGAAGGAGGGCACAGCCAAGGGAACTGCGAAAACTGGGAAGCAATGGCCCTGATTATATTACAAACCCTAAAGTTTGTTCTCTAGTCTCTGGTTATGAGTCAAGAGATTTCCTTATTCTCTAAATCATTTTAAATTGTGTTTGTGCTACAGAAAACTTCTAACTGGTAACAGACACTTAGAAATAAATGTTTCTTTCTCTCTCTTCCACCAGTGATGTCTTCAGAGCAATCAAGACTTAAAAACGGAAAGTTATACATGAAGCCCATAGAAGACTGTTTCTTTTCATGAACCAAATGAAATGTTCTGGTCTTTTTCCACTCAAATTTTTTCTTTTGAATAACTTTATTATTTTATTATTAGTCCTTAATCACTGGCAATTTACTCCTAAATGGATTTACATTGCTTATAAAGTGAAACATCATCTACTACTCAGTTTATTACTGAATTCTGATTGCTTACATAAGTAAAAACCACTCTGCATGTGACAGTCTGGGCATTGTTGACCTCAGATTGGTCAAATTCACTGTGGTCCCAAAGGCAATCAGCAATGTGCATGTGTAGGATTCCGATTATAATAATGCTCTGGTGCAACGAAGCAATGTTGTGTGTGTAGCTTCCTATCTTACAAAGTACACAATTGCTTCCATTCATCCTAGTGATATATCTTAACAATGTCTATTTCAACAGATTCTACAAATTATCTCCCAATAGAAATGGCTGAAAATATGAAGGCATTTATTTCTATTTTATAGTTTACACAAAGACATTTGCCAATGATGGAGGACCCAACTTAAACTGGTTTAACAGAGAAGGGGAATTTATGGGCCCATGCAACTGAAAACTCCAGGGCCTTTAAATAGGGCTGGATTTGCGGTTCAAATGATGCTATCAGAGCTCAGCGTCTCTCTGTCTCCATCTCTGTTTGAACTCTACTCTCAGCTGATTGGATCTACCCTCAGGCTTAACACTGTGTCCTCCTGGCAGTCCCAGGTTCCTCACATCTCTTAGTTCACCAGAAGAAATTATTTTCTTCCCCCCAAAACTCAGAGAGTTTCCAGAATTTAAGGTTGTTGGTGTTGATTGGTCTGAACCACTTATAGTAACCAAGAGATAGAATACATTGGCTGATAGGAGTTCATATTCTCAACCTCTGTGTTCAATGGAAGAGGTAGTTCACGGGAACCATATCCATACCTCCTGAAAATGTGGAGAACCCTAAATACGTACATATTGTATATTCTTATCGCAAAAGAGAGTGAGAAATAAAATGACAGAACCACCAGAGAAAGTGAGGCCATATACCATTCTTGACTTTGGACTCCAGGGAAGTTAAGGTGGTCTAGCTGAAGCCTTGACCACCTACTATGCCTTTTCACATTCAGAGTCCTAGGCAGTAACCACGTTACCTTTTACCTTTGGGTGGGACTTTTTTGCCTTTTCACTTCTGAGCACTGACTTCTGAGTGATCTCAATTCTTACCTTATCAGACAAAGTTCATGGTTATAAAAGAACTGTTAAATCCATTGGCCATTTGCTTTTTTTCTTTAAGGCTGTTTGCATTAGCCTCACAGTATGATTTGTGAATAGCAACAATGGCTAGGTAGAGAAGGAATATTCTCCTTGATAGGTTCTGAGGTAGCTGGCTAATTTTAGTAAACAGAAAATAACTAACCTAAGAGAGCAGTAAGAGTACATTGGAGGCATCTAATATCATGCATAAACTTTTTTTCTCCCCAGAATATGGTTGAACTGGTTCTGATAGATTTAGAGGCCATCTATCTTGCTATTTTGGCTGAGGATGATTTATCTTGGGACCAGTGTCTTGAAGAGGGGTTGGTTTCATTTTTAAAGAGAGTAGTAGAAATTCAAGGGCATTTCCAAATCTGGAAAGTTAAAATTGCCCATTGAGAAATTTGCTGAGCTTCTAATTTGGCAGATAACCAAACAATCTAAAAATAAGGACTGCTTTAAATAAAACACCAAAATAAATCACTCAAAAGAAAATCCCATATCTGTTCCTGTCTGGCAGCCCACTTATACCATTTCATCATTTATTTATTCCCCATTAAAGCTAACATGGTTCCATTTGCTCTTTTCACATAACTATATGAACCCATGTTTTAAAGTTGTGCAAAGAAATATATATCCTTCTTTTTGCCTGTTAAGAGAGCACATTTTGTAAAAAATTTTTTTTTTGCCAAGGGAAATATTAGAATAAATTCAAGGAGTCCCGAAGAAGCTGAAATGTGAAGCAACTGGGAGGTGTCGAGAAAAAGTAATGAACTTAGGGCAACACACTGGAGTTTAAATTTGGCCCAGCCATTACTGTTACTTGACCAATTTATGTAAACTCTCTGAGCATCATTTTCTAAAGAAAACAGAGAACTAATACAAGAGGATCCAAAACAACATAGTAATTTGACCCGCCTTAGAGCTCGAAGGAGTCTTAGGTGGCCTTTACATCCAATCTCTAAATACTTAAACCATTGCTGGGGGTGGATATTTACTCTGTTTAATATTATAACAATAATATCTTCGATTTAAGTAAACTTTGCTCTCAAAGATCTTTCCTAAAAAAGGAATAATTCTAAAATCTTCAATATGAAGGAATAAATGACACTATATCTACCAGTGTTTTATTGTCATATTGTTATAATGATAAGCATTAAGTCCTGAGAACTGGATGTAAACCAAGTACCACTAAGATCATAGGTTCTTTGTTTATATCCAGAAACTGATGAACTTTCCACCCAGCCTTAATGTGAAGATATGGGAAAGAATGTCATGGGCTTGAGAGGGGAAAGCTTTCAAATGCCAAGTTGAGATGTTTTGCATTCCAGATTCCAAACTCAGCATCTAAAAAATTAGCCTCTTTATTTTAAAGAAAGGCAGGGCTTTTTTTTTTAGCTCCATCCTATTGTTCTTGCCCCATCTAGTTCTTGACATTTTACATATCATACACAGGTATTCATATGAAAGAATATTTGATAAATATTAATTTTCTCATAGATAATTGTTTTTCATGTAGTCAAATTTGATCTAGGCTAATCTAAATGGTGAACTCAAATCAAACAAAAGGAGAAAAACAAAACAAAACCTAAAAAAATTTCTTTTAAGCTAGTTTTCCTTTCATTTAAAAAAGTAAGTGCTGATTATTTTGGAAACCTTTCCATGCCACTTTTTTGGACATTATTGTATCTTCTACTGATGAGCAGACTATAATAATGGTTTGTAAGCATTTTAGAGTGACTATAACCAATTATGGTTAATTTTGCAACTCTTCCTTCCTCCTTCTTTCCTTCTTTATTCTACGCTTAAAAAAACACACATCATATACATAATATTATATAACGTGATATATTTTGTTTTTAAAGTTAATGCAACTTATAATATCTTTATTGAGATGTAATTCACATATCATACAATTCACCCGTTAAAAATACACAAGTCAGTGTTTTTTTTTTAAACATATTCAGAGTTGTGCAACCATCACCACTAATTCCAGAACATTTTAATCACATTTTATCACATTTTATCATGCTTGATTCATATATTTTAGACATTATTTAAATCTGCTTCCTCTATAGTAAATAAGAAATAAGATTTTTCTTCAATGAAACAACCTACCATTTTCCTAGTAACATTAAGAAATATTACCACACCATAACCTTTTCACTTTATCGACTATAGGCGTTATTGCCCATCTTGTCGGATGAGAACGCTAGTGTCTCTGTCCTTCCACTTAATTCTTCTTCACTCCTTCCTCTTCCTAACTTCTAACATCTATATTTTTTATTTACATTGTCAAAGTTGATAATATTTATGATCTCTACTGTAACCGAAATCTAGTCTTCCATCTGTAGCCTATAAGTTGAGTCTAAAAATTAAAAAGTAATAAAATGTTATCATTATTTTGACTTTATAAAAATTATGAATTCTACATTATACAATTATTACTGCATTTTTCTTGTATAGCTTTTTTCCTAATGATGTTTCCAAAAGGCATTTTTTTCCTTGCACTTTTCCTTTTTAATAGTCTTTATTATTTCCATACTCTACATAACATCAGAAATGCTGTTGAAGGCACCCTTTC